GCTTTGGGGGACTGGGTCTAGTTGAAAAAGCCGTTTATTTTCTAAAACAGTAAAAAATTCAAAAAAGGCCAAGCACAGTCTTGTAGATGCTTGCATTACACATTGTCCTAAACCAGTCCGGTTTAATAACACACAACAAAAAGTGTTGTCATTTTTGTTTAAAGACTTTTTATTGTTTTCTGGCCGTGTGGAGTCACGTGAAAACATTTGCATAATTGAACATCACCTAATTGACAGAAACCACACATGTATGTATCTGGCAAAGTCTCATCTTTCTACTGCTTACGTGCTCAGAGATAGACCACCCCCCATCACTTTTTTACTAAATCATTGGGGACCCATGCCTTAATTTATCTGAGAACTTCATGGTTAATGATCGTGAACTCCTAACAGGCTTGTAAGTTTGAAACAAATGATGATTATAGCTCGGACATAAATAATTTAAAATTCATGCTCCAAGGGAAGCCAATGTAGTTCTCTGAGTAAAGCAATAATGTGGTCATATTTACAACCACATACGATCAGATAAAGTTCTCAAGTGACTGAAACATGTGAATAACGTATTTCGAAAGATCACATAAGAGAACGACCAATCTACACATTACGAAGGCATGCACTAACATTTTGAATTGATTTAAAGAGATAATCTGTTATCATGTCACAGCCCTGAGAAGTGATCATGCAGCCTGCTCTGTTTTACATTTTTTATATCTGCGTGTTTTTGTTAAAAGGTGCCCGTTCGGTTTTCGCCTGAACACGGGCATCGATTTAAGAGCTATATACTTTTTAGTACATTTAAATAATGTGACATAATCTGGAGCCTCTCTAATGCCACTTATAACACGACGAAACACATCTTATCAATGTTCTGATCTCACTGAAGGTTTTTATGTCTACATTAATTTATTAATTGCAAATCGTGTGGTAAATTGCAAACATTTAGAGAGGTCATTAATATAAGTAGAAAACAAAATTTAAGGATCTAAAATGGGCCCCTGAGGTACATCACAATGTTACCGACTGGGGCATTGAGATACTGTTTTCCACGAGATAATGTTTGCTATCTATTGGATTAAAATTTCAAACCTGTTATGAGAGAGGCTTTCTTGCCTAAAAATGTGAAATGTAAATGTAAATGTAATTTATTTACCCACGAAGCACCTAAGAGCTTAAGACCTCGTTTTTCAGTGTCCGTGCGTTCCAGGTCGAATTGGAATTTGGAAGTGTTGGTTTTTGGGGAGAGGGGAAAACCGGAGTACCCGGAGAAAAACCTCTCGGAGTAAGGCAGAGAACCAACAACAAACTCGACCTACATATCGACACCGGGGTTTGAACCCGGGCCACGTTAATTGGCGGGAGGCGAGCGCTCTCACCACTGCGCCACCCTTGCTCGCCTGTCGTTAATAACAATCACTCCCATGAATAGCGTTTGCTGAAAGAGTAAGTTATCTTTTTGCCATATTCTGAACTCACTCACCTGGTAGAACTTTTGTAACAACAATGCGTCCCTCATGCGAATCCAAACTGTGATCCTTGGGTTTGGAGGATGTATTCTTTTCAGGTAACCCCCTCATCACGCTCTTATAAACTCTCCCAAAAGCGCCTCGTCCAAGTTCCTCCATGATAGTAACCCGCTCGTGTGGGACTTCCAGCAACATAAACTCAGCAATGTCAGACTCACTGGATCTAAGGAAAATAGTGTAAATTAAATGTTAATGAAATTCGTCGTCATTAACCATGGGCTTGTGGTAATGCTTACATCAGAGATGGCTTCCTGGTTTACACAAGGTGATAAATGTTACATCGCCTTGGTCTGTAAGAAAGGTCACTCACCAGCGCGACTTGACTGAGAGAGACAGACACTTACACAGAAAAAATATCGTCTATTTCCGCATGCATATCATTATCATAATACATAGCATTCATGTAGACAATATCATTTTATCAAATACCGTTCATTCCTCTTTGCTCTCTTACGGTAGACAATTATCCCCACCACCAAAGCAGAAAGAGCCACGGAAACTCCCAACACTATCCAGACAATTTTTGCAGTATCATCTTTACTGATAGGAACTCCGGGGGCATGAGCCTCTCTGGTCACTGAGGGATACAAACAATCATAAAAGTAAAGGGCTGTTGATATATAAACATGGTCAGAATTAGTTTCCTAGTAACTACTTCCCGTTTACGACTCAGCTCGTTATAGTTTACAGGCCTCCAAATTCTGCTAAACAACCTGTGACCACATCCACATTTTTCACTGAGCCGTTTACCGATTACCTCAAGTCTCTGGTCATGTCAAGTGAGCCCTTGATAATTTCGGGCGATTTTGACATCCGTATGCACCTACCTGTCGGATATACTGGAGTCGATGGGTCTCACGCAGCATATTTGTCTACCACGCATGAACTTGGTCATACACTTGACTTGATTATCACTCCCACATCTGATAACATCATTGCTGCTTGCCCTTCTATTGGTGAGTTATTCTCCGACCATTTTCCAGTCTTCTGTCAAATAAGATTTAATAGCCCTCAAGCTAATGTCACGCATGTGCAGTTCAGAAAAATGAAATCAATTGACCCCAACCAATTTTCTGAGGCCATTCCTTCTTCTCGGCTTTATCATGATCCACCTAACGACTTAGACTCTCTAGTCAGCTGTTATAATGAGTCGTTACGGTCTCAACTGAATATGTATGCACTTGTCTTAACTCGTGAGATTAATGTCAGGCCTCTTGCTTCGTGGTTCAATTAAGATATTAGGAATGCCAAACGCTTGAGACGAAATGCTGAAAAGACGTGGAGAGCTACAAGATTAACTGTTGATCTTGCTGCTTTTAAGAAGGGAAGAAATCGTGTGGGGAATTTGATGAAAGAGGCACGCCGTGTTTACTATAATCAGTTTATCGAAGATAACAGCAAAGACCAGAAGAGGCTGTTCGCGGCAAATAAGAGTTTACTGAATATGAAGAAAGATCGATCTCTTCCCCACATTCCGTTTCACTCAGCTTGCAAACAACATGGGTCAGTTTTTTATTGCCAAGATTACCAGTATCAGGTCAAAGCTGGACGGAATCCTTGCTGTCAACGCCCGAGCCCAACCTGGAATCTGAATCTGGTGATATTGTATTTTCCCACTTCCGATGCCAAACGACTGAGATAGTTCGTCATAAGATTACATCTGGAAAGAACAAATCTTGCATCTTGGACCCAATACCTGCCTCCTTATTATCTGCATGTTTAGACTCACTCCTTCCTGTCATTACTAATATCATCAACCTCTTCTTGGAGACTAGATATTTTGCTGAAACCTGGAAAACTGCTGTGGTATACACATCATTTAAAAAGCCCTACTTCGATCTACTGTTCAAGAATTTTCGTCTAATAAGCAACCCGCAGTTTGTGTTTAAATTAACAGAGCGTGTGGTAGCCTCTCAGATTCAGTGTCACATGGTTACAAAAAATCTCTTTCCTCAATTGGAATCTGCTTATCGCTCCCATCACAGTCCGGAGACTGCATTGTTAAAGGTAACGAATGATCTACTCATAAATATGGACAAGGGCCATGTATCACTTTTACTGCTGCTGGATTTAAGTACCGCCTTCGATACCGTTGACCCTGGGATTTTACTACAATCGCTTCAATAAAACTAGATGTCCGTGGTACTGCTCTTTCCTGGTTCAAATCGAACTTGGAAGGGAGATCTCAAAGAATCTGCATAAAGGAGACGCTCTCGCAGCCGTTTGACTTAAAATGGGGTGTCCTTCAAGGTNGAAGGGAGATCTCAAAGAATCTGCATAAAGGAGACGCTCTCGCAGCCGTTTGACTTAAAATGGGGTGTCCTTCAAGGTTCTTGTGTCGGACCGCTTTTGTTTACTATTTCTACACAAGACTTGTTCTCTAAATGCTAGTGCTCGTATCACGCCTCTGCTTCGCAAGCTACATTGGTTACCTGTTTGCTACTGTTTTGAATACAAAATCGGCAAAATTTTTGCACGGCAAAGGCGTGGCTGCATGGATGCGTAATTACTCAGCTGGAAAAAGAGAGGAATATAGCTAACTACCAGCAACTACCAGTAACTACTAGTAACTACCTTTAACTACTAGTAACTACAAGTAACTACTAGTAACTAATAGCAACTATCAGTAACTACTAGTAACTACAGGTAACTACTAGTAACTACTAGTTACTACTACCGACTGTTAGGGAGTTTAAGATACGGAGACTACGGACTACGAACTACGGCTGGACGAGCGTTGTCCTTTGTTTGTAGCACTGGATTGATTTAACGGTTCCAAGCAACTAATGAACTTGGTCTCTGCGATGCGAGGTAAAAAAAGGAAAAGGGAAGCGGGAATTTTGATAATGAGCGGGAGCGGGATTTCCTATTTTTATTGGGTTGGGATGAGAGAATCGTATGGGAAAAGTAGTGGGATACGGGAATTAAGTTTTGTCGTGACCACATTTTGACTTTTTTGTGTACACCGCCCATGTACTAGGAACTACTAGTCGCCAAGGAATTGAAGCCTGTCAGTTTTATCCATTATCACTTCTGCGTGTTTTCGTCTTATTTCCGTACTTGGTAACTGACGGTGTGCTCGAACGGTCAATGGAAAGGTCTGGAGTGAGGCCAAAAAAACGAATTAGACTAGGGAGGGACACGGAAATACGAGGTTAATTTTACACAGTCTTCGCCTGCACTTCGCACCTTTTAAAAAGAGGACTGATTTGCAAACTCTTGCTGGTCACACGCACCTATTTTTGAGCGGATTTAAGAATGGACGAAAGTAAAGAGATTTTAAATAGGAATAGTACAAGTAGCAGTACAAAAGAGGAAGAAATCGAGGACCAAGCGCAAGAAGGGTGGAAAAGTAAACTTTCTGCATGGGGGTTGTCTACAGTTGCTTGTGCTTTTCGATTCAATAAGAGGTTTGGGTTTCCATAAAAGAGATCATTTTATCAATCTGTCCAACCAGTGTGTTCATACACTTTCCATGACCCGTTGTCAGCGTAGACAATTGGCTTCATCGCCTAATGCAACGCAGCAGTAAATCAATCGAAACATCCATCTACCCAACTGAACTAGCTGTTTCCAAATGGCCAGAACTCAGGTCGAAGTAAACCTTCTTTTTGGTACTGATGCGCTCTCCCCAAAAATAATAATAAGCAAAACAGAACATAAAGTTACAGTCGTTAATGGTTTAGCCTGGGACCAACAGGCTCCGCATTGAAGGAAAAGGGAGAAAAGAATTGATCCCGTTTTTTGCCTTTTTTCCCCACTACAGAGCCTGATCCCAGGCTATTAATGGTTAAGTCAAAAGCCTTTAACATCAAAGCTGCCTATTGCAAGAAGGCAAGTCTTAAACATTGTATAACGTTTTAATATTTCAATAATGAAGGCAGGAAACTCTTAAAAAAATTAGGGCGGGATCTAGTCTGCTACACAGCAGTTTTTAGTGTCGTCACACAACGCTCCTCCCCACAAACTTTGTGGCTGTGTAACAGACTAGGCGGGATCGGGATTCGGACGTAAAAACAGGCGGGATAGCGGAATTAAGAAGAAAAAACTAGCGGGAAGGCGGGATGTCAGAACCCGGCTATTGTGGACCCTTAAGCAGAGGTTCAACTGGATATGGTTTGGTGTCAATACCAAAACCTATCAGCAATTATTAAACATACATAAGGTAATATCGCACCTGTAGAGCGGGTTTTAAATTTCCAAGAAACTGACCAGTCGCTTTGAAGTTCTCCAAACCAGGAAGACACACCAATTTCATACCCCTTGTCGCATTCCAGAGATAAAAGATAAAAGGTGGTTGAAGGAACCTTATGTTCTGCCCATTTAGCTTCAATGCCTAGTGGCTTTATCTCCCTAAACCGTACAGTGGTCTCCGTTATGGTGCATATTTCTTTTCTACTCCACGTTACATTGACTTTGCAACCATGTATTTCCAACTCTTTGTTGTTTATCACGGGTGTAATTGGTTTGCCTTTAAATAATGAGAATAATACTGCGATTACTTAGTGATTTCTACTGATGTATTTGCAGTGATAGATGAATGTAGAAAGGTATACCACTAAACCTACAAAACTGTCTAACAACTACAAAAACTGAAACCTGAATTAACGACTAGCACGCTGACGCCATCTTAACTGATCGCGCTAATTATGGGCATGCGTTGAGTCCTGTAAAAAGAGTTCTTAATTACCTTGATTAATTCCTGCGGGACCTAAGTCCAATGAATGTGACAATAAGCAGACAAAAAACTTATTTCGTTACTTAAATTTACCTGTAATTCTGCTCTCGGGCCAAAGTAAGTGCTAACATGATCAATTTTGAGCTGTAAAACTAGCCAAAAGTGCAAATTATTACAATAGTTTTTGGAAAACTAATAAAAATTATTACGAATTACGCCAAAACATTATGCTAACTTAATCTTTAAAAGCCTAAAATCAGGACTATAAGAAGAATACGATTTAACCTTGGATAGATACTACTCTCACCTTTACTCAGGTCATAGACCTGCCTCCCAGATAAAGCTTTTCCAGTCACATAAAGATCCATGACTGCTCCAACAAACACCCCATTTGCCATGGGCATCTGGACTAAGCCCGGATCATTCCCTATGATGTACTCTGGCTGATAACGGCCTAACGATGAGAAGAAATGTTCATTCCATTGGTCTACCAATGCCTTCTCCGTACCATTAACGAACACGTTGATCTTATGCTGCTGACAGGTTACTGCTACGTGATTCCAGTAATTGATTTGTAAGTGGAAAGTATTGTGTATCGATAAAATGAGTCGAGAATTCTTGACTGTAACGTAAAATAGTTTTCCACCCTTTGACTGAAGTGCCAGTATAGGCCCGTCAACACCAATATACTTTACCCAAAACGCAATTGTAAAGTCACAGGTTCTTATGTTAATGTTGGGCACAGTAGCATAGGAACCATTCTGACTGAAACTCGCTGCTTTGCTTCCAGGACACCAGCCTTCAGTATGGTTAACGGTACCAAAATACCTGTAAGATCACAAAAACCAATGAATAAAATCTAGCTGTGAATAAAAAAGAATTATCTATCATAGGAACATGCAAGCCACTATTTTACCCTCGAATATAATCCTACGTTATAACACAAAAATTTAACCGGTCAACGGTGAGTATAATGCCACCTTCAGCAGTCAGAAATGCAAATGCATACGTTTAAAGCAGTGCTGAAACCTGGATGTCATATGAAATGGTCTATCTGAAATTTTATTTACGAGTTAGAAAAAAGTAAGAAACAAAGATAAGGTTCTCGCGCAAAATCGGTTGAAAATAACCCGACATCCGAAAATAGGGGTAAGATATAAGAATCCAACGCCACTTCCTTTCCCGCCCACCCCTGCCCCCAACATTAATAATTGAACAAACTTATCCGCTACTAACCTTACATCTGAATCACTACCGTCTAGAAACCAGCGGCCGTATACGGGGTTTCCTAACAAAACAAACAAGGGGGCCTGCTTAGGATTCGTTCCATTAAACTTATTTTGGGATACGAATACGTATATCGTGTGTAACCTTTATCTTTTTCTTATTGCTTTCATCGTTACTTTGAATGCTTTGGGGAGCATAAAACGGAATAATTGCAACAACAAGAATAATGGCAGACGTTGTCGGTTATTAATAAGCGAAAAGGGAACGAGAGGGACAAAAAAGCAAAAGGTTTTTATTGGCAGAACAACAACTTTGGACGTGCTGTACCCCGGGGGGGGGGAGGGGAGGGTAATTCGGAGCTCAATTGACAGGGATGATCGAAGGATTTCGGGTTTTTTTTTTGGGTAGGAGAATTTTGGCAAGTATTTTTTGGGGTAGCTTAATTTAAGTACGGATTGTTTTTGATTTCAGATTAAGAAAAGGTTATCCCTTTCTGATTCGATGTCACAGTAGGCTGCAAACATTCTCAAAACAAAGGTGTACGTTATTGTGCGATTCTTCACCGACGGTAATTTTTTTTTTTTCAACGGCGCTTTTCAAATTAGCCTAAAAAAGTTTTTTCGATCGGGCAAATTATCGATTAGCTGATCGCCAGCTGTTTCAGAAGCAAGGACTTCTTATGGTCAAAACCAATGAGATTTGCTAGATAACGTCAAGGCTGTT